AATAATAATAATAATAATAATAATAATAATAATAATAATAATAATAAACAAGTCCAGTTGCCTTTTTAGAAAAGCCCCTTTGGGACATCCCAGGAGTAGGAAAAACTCACGGGTACGTTGCTCTTACTTTCTAATTTAATGAGTCACTTGAGAACACCGTTTATTAAGGACACATTGGGAAAAATTCGAGAACGATCCGCTCCTTTGCTTGATAGTCCAGCCGAGGCTTTACCTCGCCTCGGACGATTTCAAAGCCACGGATGAACACCCGAGGTTCGCTTCACAAGCCTCCCTAACCAACGTCCCCATCTTGCGGGTCAGCCCGTAACTCGCACCATCCCGAACCCACACGTGACGGGAACAGTTCGGCTCCTCTCCAACACGCTGCACGGAAACGTCAATCTCTCCCGCTTGCAACTCCAAAGGTGTGCGAAGCCGCCGCGCTTAATGGAAGGAGATACTTGCCCGGACATGTTCGGAGGCGAAGCGATGGTCTTTCCCCGCCGGGCGATCGACCCCCGACCCCCTTCTCTCCCTTCACACACACACACAAGCGTCAAGGCCGGAGACATTCCCGTGCAAGTGGCAGGAGCGTCCCTTCCCAACTCCATCCCGCAAACCCCTGCCTTGCTAAGGGCGAAGGCGTCGCTTCGCCTCCTCCTCCTCCTCCTTCTCCCGGCACAGCCAAACTTCGCTCCGCGGGACGAGGAAGCGGGGAAAGGGATGCGCGTGGATCGGGACGCGCGCTTCCACCTTCGCCTGCAGCAGCAGCAGCAGCGCCGGGAGATCCGCGGAGGAGAAGAAAAGGCAAGGGAGGAAAAAAAGAAAAAAAAACTTTCTCGCGAGTGGGACGGGGATAAAAAATAACCCCGGGCAAGTTCCGAAGGGCCGCGCAAAGGATCGGCTGCCCCCCCACATACACCGGGGGTGAGAAGAAGGCTGGCCACTCACCAGCAGGGAAGCGACGGTGCAAAGCGCCAGAAGAAGTTTGGCTCCCATGGCCATGTCAAGAAGGGACCCGGTCCTCGGCGGCGGCGGCGGCGACCGGGCGGAGGTTGCCGTCTCTGTGCGCTCCCGGGTGGAGGAAAGGCGAAAGCGGGAAACGGCCGTTGAGCACCCAAAGAAAGCGGTCCGGAGTTGCCGATCCACGCAATGCGGTTGGAAGCGAGAGAGCGGGGAAAGTGCTGCGCTCGGGGCTCGGGCGAAAGGAGCTTTCGAGACCTCGGCCGGTCCTAGCAAAGCCTTTCTTAAGTTGCGGGCGCATCGTTTAAATAGGGCGGTTGCAAAGTAGGCGGAGGAATTGGAGTTAGGCAGGTCCCTCCCCTGGCGTGGTTCAGCGTTGGGTCGAATAGAGCTTCAGGTTCCTCGCTCCTGCCTTTGTCATCTTCGGGAAGAATTTTTTTTTTTCCCTCCCATCAGGGACTTTCCTGCAGTTGAAGTCCAGCCTCCTGGAAGGATAATATCAATGCACGTTTGCTGGAGGGCCCTCGCTTCTTTAACACTGAATCGGCGCGACAAAACCAGGTTAATGCGTGGCTGGTTAGTTGGTGTTTCTCCGAGCCTGTTCACTCGAGTGGAGGGGCTTAGAAGCCACAAGCTATCTTTTGAGTACCTGTGGAGATTCTCTTGTCATCCGGGTCATGGTTGTCTCAAAGGTGCTTTTTCAAGAGGCCGCTGGACTTTCTTGGTTTCTCTTTGAAGGCGTTTTGCTTCTCATCCAAGAAGCTTCTTCAGTTCTGACTGGATGGTGGAGAAGAGCTGAAGAGGCTTCTTGGATGAAAAGCAAATCGCCTTCAAAGAGAAACCAAGAAAGTCCAGTGGCTTCCTGAAAAAGCACCTTTGGGAAGCTGTCCTCTGGTTGGACTGGATCCTTGTTTATTCAGATAAACCCGTTTTGTAAAATATGGGAAACTAAACATTAAGAGTGGTGAGCCGGCTAAATTTTCTAGTCTTTTCTCTAACGCAGAGATCTCCAACCTTGGCCACCTTAAGCCTGGAGGACTTTAACTTCCAGAATTCTGGGAACTGAAGTCCTCCACACTTAGAGTGGCCAAGGTTGGAGACCCCTGGTCTCAAGAACCATTAGGCAGGTAAAGTAATGAAGCACAGGTGTGAAAAACAGGACAATGTATCTCTACCCCAGGGGTCTCCAACCTTGGCCACTTTAAGACTTTGGACTTCCAACTCCCAGAATTCCTCAGCCAGCTTTGCTGAGAGTTGAAGTCCTCCAGGCTTAAAGTGGCCAAGGTTGGAGACCCCTGCTCTAACGGACATTCAGTCAATCCAGGTTAGCAAAATACATTGGGAGGAAGTGGGAGAGAAACGTTCTGAGTAGGGTAGGAAAACCTGCTGGCTTCAAAGTAAAGGAGGGGATTTAGAGGATTAAGAGTCCTTAGTGCTCTCGGAGCTGTTTTCTTGCAGACATTTCATTACCCAAACTAGGTAACATCAGTACTAATAAGGAATGGGATTTGCTGTAGCACCAAGGTCCTCTCGGGTCAACTCTGAGCTACAAAGATTCTCCTTTATTAGAGCATATTGACTGATTGTACCAAGATAACTCTGATCATATGGAGATTTTTTTCTCCCCCAAATTCTTCCAAGACTTTCTAGAACAAGAAGGAAAACTGGCTTCTAACCAGTAACCTGAACATAGAATAACATAGTTGGAAGGGACCTTGGAGGTCTTCTATTTTTTTAAAAAATAATTCTTTATTGAATTTTTTTCCATTGATACATAATACTAATAGTTATTAAACAGCACTGTGACATTATATATATATTTATGTGTCTTATCAAAACTTACAATGCATAATACTTTCATACCCTCTTATTTATTATATGCATTATTTACATTTTCTATTTTTATATCTATTATCTATCCAAATAAACCAGGCTTCCCATACTGTTTGTATTCTGTGTCTGTTTTCCCTTTTAACTCCATAGTTAATTTATCCATTTCCACACTCAATTTTTTTTTGATTATTAAGCCTTCAGGTGGTATAGAGTTTCCCTTCCAGTACTGAGCATATGAAATTCTTGCTGCTGTTAATATATGTAAGAATATAAGATATTTTATCTTTCTATTATAGTTTTTTTAAATTATTCCTAAGAGGAATAATTCCGGGACAAAATCAATTTTGTTTTTAGTTAACTCTTCTAACCATGCTTGCATCATTTTCCAGTATTTTTTCGCTTTGAGGCATGTCCACCAAGAATGAAAGAAGGTACCTTGTTGTTGTCCACACTTCCAACAATTTGGTTTTAAGTTTGGGTAAATCTTAGACAGTCTTGAAGGTGCCAAATGCCAACGATAGAACATTTTATGTTGGTTTTCCTTATATGCCACCGATTTTGTTATTTTATAATTCACATTCCAAATCTTTTCCCATTCTTCCAGATCAATAGTATGTCCAATGTTCCTACCCCATGCAATCATCGTTCCTTTCACAATTTCTTCCACTCTTTCAAATTCTAATAAATGTTTATATGACTCTGGTAATAATTTCTCATCTGGGCCAATCAAGATTTTATCTAGTTTTTGTATTTCATTATCTATTGCAAATTCCTCACTGTCTTTTTTATATCTTGTTTGAATTTGCATATAGGTCCACCAATCCAGTTTTATTCCCTACTCTTCCAATTTCTGTCTGCTCTTTTAATTTCCCTTGGTCATCTAGAATTTCCCTATACCTAGCCATTTTCTTAACCTCCGATATATTGGGGTGGATTACTGCTTCCAAGGGAGATACCCAGTTTAGAATTTTCAAATTATCAGCACATTTCTTATTTTATGTCTATAAAAGTATAGATACGGTTTGTTTTCTTTGTCCCACAGGAAGGCATGCCATCCTCTTTGTATTCATGCCCTTCTATGGTTAATATTCTTTTTTTCCTTAGGTTGATCCAATCTCGTATCCATACAAGTATTTCTGCCTTATGGTATAGTTCCCAATCTGGAAGCCCAAGGCTACCTCTGCTCTTACTACCCTGTAAATCTTTTAACTTTATTCGGGCTTTTTTGCCTGCCCAAACAAATTTTGTGATTATTCTATTAAGTTCTCTAAAAAAAATTCTTATCTAATTTTGTTGGAGTTGTTTGAAATAAATATAAAATCTTTGGCAGGACATTCATTTTTATAGTTGCTATTCTTCCTAATAATGATAATTGTAGAGTCCTCCATTTTCCCAAATCTTTTTTAATTTGATTGAATAATTTGGTGTAATTGTCTTCCTTTACTGTGGAGCACTTTGTTGTTAACCATATTCTAAATATTTAAAAAAATTTGTGACTTGTAGTCCCATTACTTTTTCTAGCTCCTTTTTATTTCTAATTGTTATGTTTTTCACTAGCATTTTGGTTTTGTCTCTGTTGATTTTAAATCCTGAAATCTCTCTGTATTTTTCTAATTCCTCCATCAAAGCTGGGCCTGATTCTAGTGGCTCCTCAATAAAAAAAAAAAAAACCAAATCGTCCACGAATGCTTGTAGTTTATACTCCTCTTTTTAAATTTTTATTGCCTGTATAATTCCTAATTTTTATTAACAGTGTCTCTAGTGTCAAAGAGCAGAGGTGACAATGGGCATCCCTGTTGGACTCCTTTTGTTATTCTAAATGCCTTTGTTATATCACCATTTATTATTATATTGGCCTTGGAGGTCTTTTCGTCCAACCCTCTGCTTAGGCAGGAAACTCTACACCACTTCAGACAAATGATCATGCAATCTCTTCTTAAAAACTTCCAGTGTTGGAGCATCCACAACTTCGAGAGGCAAGTTGTTCCACTGATTAATTGTTCTCACTGTTAGGAAATTCCTCCTTAGTTCTAAGTTGCTTCTCTCCTTGATTAGTTTCCATTGCTTCTTGTCCTGCCCTCAGGGGCTCTGGAGAATAGCTTGACTCCCTCTTCTTTGTGGCAGCCCCTGAGAGATTGGAACCCTGCTATCACGTCTCCCCTTGTCCTTCTTTTCATGAGACTAGACATATCCAGTTCCTGCAACCATTCTTCATGTGTTTTAGCCTCCAGTCCCCTAATCATGCAAGTGCTAGAAGCATCCATTTGTTACTGTGACATTTTAAAAAAAGTTTTTTTGTTTCCCTTGCAATAAAGGTGTGCAACATATTGAATACAGATCTCAGTAACTACTGGGTTTTACATTCTCAGAAGGAATTGGCCATTAATCCCCTTTGTCCCACCAACCTAGGATTTGTATTTTTAATCCAATTAAATCTGCATCTGCATTCTACCAAGATAAAGTTTGTGTCTTCAATATGAGCTTCGGTATGAAACAAATTGCCAACTTTTTCTTTCTCACTGTGGTTAGATAGTAACAATTTAGGAGAGAGAGAGAGACAGAATGACAAGAATGTTTAGTGAAAAATGCACCTGCATAGAGGGAACAAAACAACGTGTTCCATTGTTTCTTCACCACATTGTTATCTTTAGATATCTTCCTTCACTAACATCTGTTGGAAGGGCATTCAATTTAGCCAAGGATAAAATTAGTTAACTCAGATTAACAGAGTTGGAAGGGATCGTGTAGGTCATCTAGTCCAACCTGCCCCCCACCTGTCCAAGCGGGAGACCCTACACCATTTCTGACAGATGGCTACAGATAGATAATCAGAGTTGGAAGGGACCTTGTAGGTCATCTAGTCCAACCCCCCCACCCAAACGGGAGACCCTACACCATTTCTGACAAATGGCAGTCTAATCTCTTCTTGAAACTCTCAACTGATGGCGCTCCCACAACTTCCGAGGGCAACTTCTATTCCATGGGTTGATGGTTCTCACTGTCAGAAAGTTTCTCCTTGTTTCCAGGTTAAATCTCTCCCTGTTCAGTTTCCATCCATTCTTCCTTGTCTGGCCTACAGGTGCTTTAGAAAATAGCTCAACCTCCCTCCTCTCTATGGCAGCCCCTCAAATATTGGAAGACCGCTATCAAGTCTCCCCTGGTCCTTCTCTTTACTAGACTAGCCAAGCCCAGTTCCTGCAACCGTTCGTTGTATGTTTTAGCCTCCAGTCCTCTAATCATCCTGGTTGTTCTTCTGTGTACTTTTTCTAGAGTCTCAACATCTTTTTTATAATGTGGTGACCAAAACTGGATGCAGTACTCTAGGTGTGGTCTTAACTAAGGCTTTACGGAGTGGTATTAGTACTTCCCTTGATCTTGATTGTATCCCTCTATTAACGCAATTTAGGATTGCATTAGCTATTTTGGCTG